AAGACACATGTAGATGTAGCACTTAAGGACATGGTTTAGTGGTGGACTTGACAGTGTTGGGTTAATGGTTGGACTCGATGATCTCAAAGGTCTCCTCCAACCTAAATGATTCCATGATTCTATGATTCTATTAGTTCATTTGTGCAGACAGACCATTACCGAGGCTGATCAAATTCCTGTTATCTGGATCTCTTAATCCTTGGGTGTTATTCTTCACTACATTCAAGTTTTATCATTATGTCCCTTTTCATCCTTAAAAATTAAATTAAAATAGTTCTCAGCTAATTTCTGTGTAGTTCTTTTTGAAGCAGGCTTATTACTTTAAGTACTGCCAAGGGAGCTGATTTTTCTCTGGGAAAATCTCATTAAGGCTTCAGCATTCCAGCCTGGAAGATGTTTCCGACGTCGGCCTCTTCACGGATGCTGTGCTGATGGGAGCCTGTAGGATCTGAAAGTTGGTGCTGTCCCCTTTCCTTTGTAACCTCAACCGTCCCATGGGACATGCAGGCATGAGCCACAGCTGAGCTTGCAGAGGAGAAGGTCTCCTGGCACTGATTTCGGGGGGGGTGGATGCCAGATACGGGTGGTGACGTTGGCTTTGTAGACCTGCTCAGAACAAACGTTGCAATACAAGCCTTTCTTTCTTGAAATAAACTAATCACTTTTAAATTTTATATTTTAGTAGAGAAAAATCAGGTTTAGGCAGCTGCTTGGCATGAAATGTGTCAACTCATGCAATTAAACCTTGGTAATATTTTAAACAAAATTTAAAAGCTTAAACATGGTAAGTGTGAGGACACATACTGCTACAAATACAACCTTAAACAGAATTCTCACCAAGCGAACCGTGCTTAGAAACCGGGGTATCTGACTGCTCGGTGCTCTCTCCCAGAAAATCAGCTGCTGCTCTTGCGCTTCTCTAATAACGTTTTTGCCTTTCAGTTTACTTGTATCAGTTCCTTAGTTTTATTTTCTGTGAGCAAAAACCATAAAATTCTCATAGGCCTTGTCTGTCAAAAGTAAACCTTCTGATTTTAATTATTATCAAAAATCCCTGTTCCATTCAAATTATTTGTCTGGCGTTCAGAGGTAAGCAGGTAAAAGCTTGTATTATGCTGCTTCTCATTCCCTCAGGTTGTGAAATAAAAAACCAGACTCCACCTACTGCTTCTATCATTATATCGTTTAAGGAAGTAATTGTAATACACACAAATGCTGCATTCATCGCAGCACGTAGAAGTGAGTGCCTGTGGCTACAGACTGCCCCATTTTTTATCTGTAAAGAAAGAGGGGTTTTTAAGACGTCCATAGTAGAACATTCACTGATGCATTGCATCTTCTTACACAAAGAAGCAAGAATCGTAAATACTAAGAACATCTACTCCTGGTTATAGGTTTTACAGGCAATATCTGTAAAATTTTATGTATTTCTATTTCTTTGACCAACAAAACACATTTCTTTTTATAGAAACTTCAAGACTACAAAGTCAAGCCTGACTCAAAACAACAGAATTAAGACTGTTTGTACTACCTTGGTTTGGTCAACTAATATCAGGAATTTTATTTTTCACCCTACTTTATTCTCTAAATCTCAGCCTCCCTGCCAGTGGAGATTTGTAGTGACTGCTTGTCCTGCTTGATTTCCTCAGCTCTCGGCAGCTTTGCCTGGGTACTCCCAAACTCCAGCCACTTCTCCCGAATGCTCTCAGCCCTTTCCCAGCCTCATAGCCCACGTATGTATCCCCCGAGGCAGCTGCCTCCCTGTGCTCTTTTCTCCCTAATGGATGCAGCTTTTTTCTCTTAGATTTAAAATTAGGCTGTTCTACTATTATTATTATTATTATTATTGCTGCTGTTATTATGTTATTTTGTTATTATTCTATTGTCATTTTGCTATCATTATTTGTTGTTATTCTATTATTGCAGCTGCCCTGTGCTGTTAAGCCTCTTTACTGGTGTGCGGACAGGAATAGTGCTGCTGTTGTGGTTTTGACTATGAGTCGGGATGAATAAACCAAGGCATTGAAGGTCATCGTCCAAAAAGATTGTTATCCACATTAATAAGGTTAGTATTAACAAGGTTGGAAGTATTTTTCCAAATTTAAGCTTTCTGTGTATTTTTTATAGTATAAATTAAACAGATCTTTAAAATGAGGGTTTATTTCAAACTGTAATTGTAATAACATTTAAAAATTATTCTAAATAAGTTTTTGAACCGAGAAATACATGTGATCTGTTCAGGCTATAGGTTTATGTAAGCAAATCAAAGTTCGCCAGTGAAACATTTGTTCTTAGACTTTACATTCTTCTGTAAATTGACATGTTGTTGTAAAATTCCTGATCCCTTCTGCTGTTTGCTCCGAAGCAATGAAACCACCTTGTCCTCATCCTTGGGTCAGAAGTTGGCCCAAGTCTTGCCCGAGAATTACTTGAAAGACAGAGCCGTTATACCACTGGAATTCATACCACCCCTGGTACCACAGCCTTTAGGATCATCCAGTTCTCTGAGTATTATTTTGATCCTTCTCTGTGGTGGTTCCCCATTTAGCATTACAGTGAGTGTGTATCTTTGGTGTGAGCTTGATAGCTGCTCCTCTAGGCATTTCATTCATGATTTCGCTCCCATTAATTATTTTCATTGACAATTTAAAAAAAACTTTGATACCGAGGTCAGCTTTGCCTAGAGAAGCAGAGGCAACTGTTTCTTTGCGTGTCTTGCTGTTTATCTTTTAAATAGGAATGAAGTGGGTTTTCACAACCATAGATTATATCCACAGATTGGAAAATTGCACAGGATAATTACCAAGGAGCTTGTGCAGCAGCGTGGGGATTCTCCTTCCATAGTGCTTGGACAAAGTAACGTTGTTAGAAGAGAAGATCCTTCAGACAGTGTACAAGGTGTGAAACAAACGTTGAGGACATATCCATATTTTGGGATGGAGCAGGTAGTACCTATGTTCCACTGCTGCGGTGCGAAACAAAGCCTCCAGGGAACAGCGTTTTGCCCAGAATTTGCTATCCTCAGGTTTCTATTAAATTAAATCTGCTTATGCTATCGATAAGCATTGAGTTAAATACTGATCAGAGGAAGAACTGACAGCAAACTGAATACCCTCCTACTGACTTGTTCAGCTCAGGGTAACCAAGTGCCTAATATTGATGAACTGCCTGCATCGGCAGCTGTGAGGAAAGGATCAAAGGCAGTAAAGGCAAACGGCGGTACCTCAGTCAAATTCACCTCTGTGCAGGCAGCTCAGAGGCCACAGGAATTTCACTTCGTTTGATGAATAGGTTAGTTATTTATTCTTACACAGAACTGTGAAAGAGTTTTCCGAACTACAGATGGATGCAGCATAAAAATGGCATTAACAGATATAAAACAAAAAAATCACGTTTCTCCCTGCGTTTATCTGTCTTTGTCTCAGACTGCAAATTCTTTGGAGTGAGTTTGTCTTGCTTGTAGGCTGCCTGTGCCTGGCGGTTATACTAAGCTAGATGTTTTTTGCAAAGGTATGAGTTTTCAATAACTCATATGCTCTTTCTTTAATAGTATTGATTATGAAAGACCTTTGATTTTACTGAGAATATGACATTTTAACTTTGGCACAGTCTCTGCAGACTTTAGTTATGCTTATCTGTTCCGGAACACTGCTGTTTGTTCTTGGGCAAAGTCTCTGTTGGAGAATTTTGAAATAAAAATCAACAAATACATGTAGCTTTTAGTACTGTACTAAATATGATAGTATCTGTTTTATTGACAAATGTGAATTTATCATTATAAATTGTCTGTTGTATAATTTATAAATGTATTGGGATTAGTGGGTTGGCATAGAGTGCAAACTGGATTAATGTATGGATTCTGTGAATTTGGGTCCACTTTTGCCTGGTGCTCTGCTGTTTAATAGAATGAATTGCTTGTCTCGGGGTTTTTGCATAGGTTTAACTCAAAACCTCTTAGTCTGAATAAAACTCCTACACTGTTACCAGACTTAGATAAACCTATATAGATTTTAATTGCTGTTTTGATGATGCACTGCACACTCTTGTATGGAAAGCTTCTGTTGCCTTTGGGTAATCTCTGCTGGCTTCTGTAGCTTCATACTACTTTTATTATTTTCATTATTTTCATCACGAATATCTGAAAAGTATTTGTAGGAAACCAAACAGGATTTTTTCTAAAGATGTTTTTTTAAAGAACATAGAATTATTCTGCCATACAGAAAATGGTGTCCCCAGCTGTTGCTGTCTCCAAGCCATGACGGTGCCAGGGGATGGTGCTTGGACGTCTGCTCCACACATCCACATCCCCTGCACTGTGTGCATTCCAGCGCAGATGAAGTGACAACAAATGTTTATAGTTTGTGATTGAAATGTTTGGCTCTATGCAGGTGTCATACAAGATATTATTGTATATGTGTCTAGCTCTTAGTCCAGGGAAGAGCCACTTTAGCTGGCTGACGTGTACCTCGTGCCTTCTAGAAATATCTAGTGTCCAGCTGTCTGCGATTCCTTCTCTCCAGGCATAGGGATGGATGTAAAGCAAAAGATGGCTCTAGGATTAATGTTTTAAATGGTCTTTTTGTATTTTCAATGCACTTTTTGGGTGGTAATTGGCAGGATGCAACATGACCTCTCTGTTGATGTTGTGTTGCGTGTCCTATGAAGCAGCTTCTATCAGAAGCGTGCATTGACTGTTGACTGGCTGACCTGTGTACAGGGCAATTCGTGGGAAAACGGCACAGCACAGGCTGTGATCACAAAAAATCGCTTTAGAGTGAAATATCTTTAAATCCTGTCGAAGACACCGAAGTCTGGCCATGCTCTTGGTGGGTACTGCGTTGCCTGCCTGCCTCTGGCGCTCTGACAGTGCTTGTGTGATTTCCCTCCTTCCAGGCAAGTAAGAAAATGTAGTGGGACGGAGGCGAGGCCGAGAAGCCCCGAGCGAGCGCTGGGACGAGGGCCTCCGGGCGGGACTCCCCTCCCCGCCGCCCAGCCTCACCATGTCCAAGAAGAGCTCCAGCAGCCGAGCTAGGGGCGAGAAGCCGGACGCCTTGGCTGCCTTGCAGGCTGCCAATGAAGAGCTCAGGGCCAAGCTCACCGACATCCAGATAGAGCTCCAGCAAGAAAAGAGTAAGGTGTGCACCTTTTCCTTTCCTTCCCCCATTAATTACAATAACGAGGGTCTGTTGTTTCGGAATCCTAACACTCATAGCTGTGTTGTAGGTGCCTTTGACAATAAATGATCAGAGTGCATGCACCTGGAGCTAGCCTTCTTGGGGAACAAGAGGCAGCCCCTTTACTGCAGATTTTTAAATTGTCCTCCTTGTATTTACAATGTGCATATGGGACAAAAGGTCTCTGAAAGCGAGGGTGTGTTGGTGGTACCGCTCTCGGTGGCAGAGCCGAGCAGTGAGGATGGCCAGTCCCTGGGCAGGCAGGACTCAGCTGCCAGCAGCACGCTTGCTCCCGCCATCCAGGAAGAAATGAAGTTGGCAAATCGCATCGCTAAATACCAACAAAAGATCTGGAAAGACAAACATCTGCTCAAAACAGATGGCATAATCGTAGTGGTGGGCTGAAAGCTGTCCATGTCCTTTGCTTCTCCTGCTACAACTTTTTCCAGTAAATATTTACCTATTTATGAGGATGGCTTCATTGAGGGTTTTGAATGCAACTTTGTTATTCAGAAATTCTCTTTGCTGATTCTTCTCTTTCACATTTACACTAATTTCATTTGGATTTTATGCTCAAAATCCTTCAGACTGGCTGCTTACGGTTTCCAGATGTACAGTAATGGGCCCCAGCTCTGCCCTCTGCTCTGATTGCCGACGTTTACAGAGCCACGGCTTCACCTCAGCTGAAAGAGCCTTCAGCCCACTTCTCACTGAGGGCATGAAAAATGTATTTGCTGTTCCCTAATCCCCAAAATTAGTTTCTACTGATAAACTTTGGGGTTTTTTTGGTTCCAGAATGTTAATAGAGACATGCATTACCATCCAGGGACAGAATAATCTGCATTTTTTCATTAATTTGCATCATTATTAGGTGTTGTAGACTATGAGTCCAATTTTTAAGGAAGCTTCTAAGGCGGGGGTGTGTGTGTATATATATATAAATAAAACACCTATTAACCCTTTTGTTGTGATGCCACATTTGCAGTTTTAAGACCGAGGACCCTGTTTTCCTTCTCCCTGTCCTCCCCAGCCACTTCTCATCATGGCTTCTTTTGAGTTCATGGTATGATTTTAAATTGAAATGTCATTTGACCCTTCTGTGGTCAGATACAATTAGTTATTTGAACTGAATAATTTATTGCTTAAAAAGCATCTGATAAAATGCAGTTGTTTGGGACTTCACAGTAGCTTGCACAGAGCTTTTTATGTCTTGCATATGCACGGGCGCACAGCGCAGTTTGGATCTGTGTGCCTGAGCGTGCCAAAATAATGGCTTAGCATCTGATTTCTCATGTATTCTTTTGGGGATGTGGTGTGAGAGCTTCTGCAGATATCCAGCTGAAAAATAAAGTAAGGACTCAGTCCGCAAGATACTGGTTAATTCCTACATGTGTGTTATCTTAAACGTCAGCCTGTTTCTAGCACCTGTCACACACACCTTAGCCTGCTTTCTGAGCATAAACTTCCTGTAGTGTTCGGATATGGATGGTTAGTTCACCTGGATTTTGTGCTTCTTGCATAAATTTATGATACTTGTTTACATTGTATTAACTCATGCTTTTTAGGGCACAGAATTGGGCAAATGAAAGAGTCCGTAAGATTGCAAGGGATTATTATTTAATGATAAAATTAGACTATGATGCTAAAATCAGCATTGGTGCCTACGCTTTCATCTTCAATATCAACAATATGCAAAATGAGAATGATACATTTTTGTTTCTCTTTTTCTAAATATGCAGATATTTCCACTTATGCTGGTTTCCAGTGAAAGAAAGATCTTTTCTACAAATTTGTCAGGGTTCTCTTTCTTATTTTCACAAATTACTTTTTCCTTAGAAGAATTCTCAAAGTTCTCTGTAATGTCGCAGTTTTTTCTTTACTTGTGCCTGTTTTGGTTCTGCAGTGTTCTAGTTTGTGAGGCAGGCTTAGGCATATTCTTAGCAAGGAAACCTTATTGTGTCAAATGAGGAAGAAAAATACATCCTTACCGAACAGAACTGACCAGAACATTTTTCCCAATAAACACTTCAGTAATGAAATGCAATGTAGTGAGTATCCACTGCTTAATTTTAGCATTTAGATATGTGCACAGGCTGTTCCGATAAACATTATAGGGCAGAAAAGACACAGCAAAGAGATGTGCGCTCCCTGCTTCGGAATCAGCCTGCCCAAAGGAGAGGGTCAGCTATGCAAACGCTGCAAATGCTGCAGCAAACACGTGCTGGGAAGATCTCCCAGCGCACTACCTGCCGTTATACAGCAACCACCGCAATGGAACGCTGAGGGGGGTCATGGTTTCCCCTAAGGCACAGGATTCTCATTCACAGCCCCCAAAATCCCTGATGACCGCCTGCCAGCTCTGCCAGCTCTCTGGTGTGCGTGCGCCCGAAGCCTCCCAAGCAGAGCCGTGTATCGCTGGTGCGACGGACAGCATCACGGGCAGGACGCTGTGCGTTAGTGCCCAGCCAAGCGCGGTGGTTCATCGCCTGAGCCGCCCAGAGGACAGGCTGTCTCGGCAGGGTTTCAGTCATTGCCACTGTTGGTTTTGATTACGTAGAGCTACAGCAGCTAGTCAACGACGAGGTGAGCGCTTGTTAGTGCTTCTGGAGAGAGGAGGGATCTGCCAGCACGAAGGCGGAGCTGTTCCTGGAGTGTTTGTGGTAGCTTTCGGATCACTCTCCCAAGCCGGCGTGCTCCCGACTGCCTCGCTAGGTTAGCTGCATTGCCAAAGGGCCCCACAGGTATGTGCCAGACCTCGAGTCCAGCAGCACCTGCGACAGAGCGTTGGAAGTATTTGCCATAAACTGTAGAAAACCTTTTCTCTGTGAAAATGTTTTACAGGGGTTTGTAATGTGTGTTGTCTTCACAGGAAATGCTTCAAGAGAGGAAATTTCTCTTTCATGAGTCTACAGCATGAAGGCTGTGCAGCAGAGCTCAGTGACCCTGGTTTTACCCAGAGCCTCTTTTTTAAAGTGATGTTTAATATGTAATAAAGTATTTGATCATAAAGAATGAACAAAATGCCAAATATGTAGTTCTGCGTGAGGTAATACTAATTAACTGGGCTTTCACTCTAAGGCACAGACATACAATGTTAAGGTCTAATATTGTAAAGTGATCTGTACCATTTGTTGACGATATCATAGTTTGTATTAATCATTCTGTTGATTGAAAATACTTTTTTGATTTTCCTTGTAGGTCAGCAAGTTGGAAAGAGAGAAAAATCAGGAAGTTAAGCAGATCAAAGAGCACGAACAGCATAAAAGTACAGTGGTGGTAACAGAGCTCAAAGTCAAACTTCATGAAGAGAAAATGAAGGAGCTCCAAGCTGTTCGAGAAGCACTTTTGAGACAGCATGAAGCTGAACTACTTAGAGTAATAAAAATTAAAGACAATGAAATCCAGAGACTACAGACCCTTCTCAATGCAGTGCGCGATGGGGCTCCTGACAAGGTGAAAACGGTGCTGCTCACGGAGGCGAAGGAGGAGGCCAAAAAGGGGTTTGAAGTTGAGAAAATAAAAATGCAGCAAGAAATTTCAGAGCTGAAGGGGGCCAAGAAACAAGTGGAAGAGGCTTTAACTATGGTCATCCAAGCTGACAAAATTAAAGCAGCAGAGATAAGGAGTGTGTATCACCTGCATCAAGAGGAGATCAGCAGAATTAAGAGGGAGTGTGAGAGAGAAATTCGTAGACTGGTACGTGTTGCTATCTGCATCTATGTTTTTATTATCACTTATGTTATTGATAGCAAGTAAACGAAGGTTCAGTGCTGGACTCAGATGAGTGGATAAGGACAGGCATTCAAACTTCTGGAGCTTGCTTCAAATCTGTTTTATGTTTGCAGTTGAGATGTCAAAACATTGTTTAAAAATGATTAGGGTGTTTTGTAACGAACTATTCTGTCCATGTCAGTGCTTGTTAATATTGTTCACATTTCAGATATCAGGAAGAGACCTTGCATTTCCAGCTGGTTAGGGGAATTTCACAACACCGTTATGTTTCTTGGCCCATCCCTCTGTTTCCCCACCATTTGTTCCTTGGTGATCCACCTTGGTCCCTTGCTTTCCGTGCCTTTGCTAGTTCCCTTAAATATCCCATAATAAGCCTTAAACTATCCCAAAATGCTCTTTCTCCTGCCTCCCATAGTGAGTGCTATACCCCGCAGGCAATGACCCCCTTCACTCTGCAAGGCGCTCCCCTCCGTGACCCACCAAGCTGACGTTCCCCCCGGACAGGCGCGGGTGCTCCACCTCGGGCGGCCCGGCGAGACGCG